ACCTTCTCTGTCCATTCCCAGTCATGCTTCTCACTAAAGGATACATCATTTTTTTCTATAGTTACATTCCTACCTAAGATCCATTTTTCTGACAAATACTTGATCATTGCTTTCTTCTTTCCTCTGTAGGGACCAATGAAGATGCCAGCCTGGCGTGGGACGTGGGTGATTTGGCCTCCACACAGGTGGACCAGTTCACACAGCTTGGCACTGGGGGGGTTGCTGGCTGGAGTGATGAACATTACTGGCTGCCCAGAAAAGAGGTTTCCTTGGTATTGCCCCGCCGATAAATGACATTCCAGTCGGCAGACCTATTTGGCAAAGACAGAAGGAAGAATTAAAAAGGCACTGGACCATTTCATTCTTTATTTAGAGTAAAGTCAACTGTGAAGCTCATCTTCCCCTTTGGGAAAAGGAATACACTGATTGTAGCTTTCACATTCTCAGATGAATTTTAAATTCTGAGGAGGAGAGAAAATAGTTACTAGCTAGCATTTGACATTTTCTGAGGTAGCCTACAAGTAAAACCTCAAGCAAATAAATTTATAGATAAAAATGTTTAAAACTCAAAAAAAACAAGTCAGTCCTGACTCATAGCGACCCTTCCCTTGGGTTTCCGAGGTGGTATCACTACAGGAGTAGATTGCCCAGTCTTCATTCCCAGGAGCGGCTGGTGGGTTAGAACTGCCAGCTTTCTGGTTAGCAGTCAAATGCCTTAGGCCCTATACCACCAGAGCTTCTAAAAATGTTTAGACCTTTGAATTTTTAATAATAAAATTTATAATAACAAATTCTAAAACAAAATATTGGAAAGTAATAAAATGCTCAATAGAATGAAGAGAACCACATCTACATTCTATCAATTCTATCTAAGTCAATTGGAAGACTTGTGTAAGTGGCAACAGGACAGGGCTCTCGGTAGCAATAACTTTTGCATGAATCTAAGAAATACTATAAATGCAGCATTACAGTTTAAATGGGTAAAGGGAGAACTGGGTGATATAAAAGTATACTTCCTATAGCTATTCTTAAAAAATAAAAAAGGTTAGAGATAAATGATTGGAGATAATTCAATGAATTATTATAAAAACAGTTATGAAGAAATTTCTGGTAAGATGGAGGAATAGATGAGACAAGGTATATGTGAACTGCTGTATGAAAAGTGAATTTACTCTGTAAATCTTCACCCAAATCAAAATAAAATTAAAAAAAAAAAAAGGTAGTTTAAAAAAAAAAAAAAGAATGAAAGAAAAGACTAAAAAAAAAAAAGATGGAGAAATAGGCAAGCAAGCGACACAGATCCTCTTCAACAAAGAAAAGAAACACCAATTGACAGAGATACAGAAGAGAATCCTGGAGCCCTGAGCTTTGAAAGGAATTGGGCACCAACTAGTGGAAAAACCTGAATGAAAACAGGACCTAAGAACAGGCTCTGTTCACCAGGGTTGGCAAGGACATACGAGAGGCTGACAACAGGAAAGAAGACAGGTGGTAAGTGTATAATTGCTGTCAACTAGTGAATAGAGCAGCACAGCACAGTACCCTGTCTGTACAGATAATATACAAACAAAACAAAGTAAACAAAAACTGTGGGCAAGTCATTCCAACATATAAGCACCAATTAATATAAACACAAAAACGCCACAAAGCCTCGGAGACAACAGAGCATCACAGTCCACACAAAGAAGCAAGATAAAGCAGGAGGAAAAAGGGACCAGGATACAGACCCAGACACATCCCTGAGGAAGCAGCAGCATTGGAACTCCCTGATAAGGAATTCAAAAGAATTATATTTAGGTATCTTCAAAGGATTGAGAGACAGACCAAGAAAAACACAGACAAAACCCTAGACGAATTTTGGAAGAAAATGCAAGAACAAAATGACAAAATAAGTGAAAAATTAAATATGATTCTAAATCTACAGATAGAAATCCAGAAGATTAATACTAAATTGTCAGAAAGAGATAACACATTGAAAGGGCAAAGGAGTAGAACTGATGTGATGGAAAGCAGAATTAATGAGATGGAAGACAAATACCTGAATACTTCTTTGGAAAGGGATCAATCAGAAAAAAGATCAAAGCAAAATGAAGAAAGCCTAAGGTACATGTGGGATACCATCATAAAGAATAACCTACATGTCATTGGAGTTCCAGAACAGGAAGAGAAAAATAAAACCACTGAGAAAATTGTCCAAGATTTGTTAGAGGAGAACTTCCCTGATATGAAGAAAGATGTGAATATAACCACTCAGTAAGTCCAACAAACCCCAAACAGGATAGACCCCAAAAGAAAAACACCAAGACATATCATCATCAAACTCACCAAAAACAAAGACAAAGAAAAATATCATGAGAGCAGCATGGGAAAAACAAAAAGTTACCTACAAGGGGCTAAGCTCAGATTTCTCGAGAGAAACCATGCAGGCGAGAAGATAGTGGGATGGTATATATAAAACACTGAAAGATAAATATTTCCAACCAAGAATTATGTACCCAGCAAAACTGTCCCTCAAGTATGATGGTGAAATTAGGACATTTCCAGATAAGCAGAAATTAAGGGAATTTGTTAAAACCAGACCAACCTTGCAAGAGATGCTAAAGGGAGCCCTTTGGACAGAGAAGCAACAATAATCAACAACAACTGACCATTAACACACATGATGATATAACCCAGAAACAACCCAGTATGGAAGTACCCAAAGTAAATAAGCCTACAAGATTGTAAACAGGGAACCAGAGACACCAACTGACAAATGAGGACAACTACAAACCAAAAAGAGGGAAAAAATGAAGTCAAGACAACTACAAGATAGAACAGACTGCTCTACACTTGGGAAGAAAACTATAAATCACAGGGTAACCTCAAAGAGAAAGGACAAACCTTCACATCAAAATAAAAAAGAGGACCAGCATAAATATTCAGCAAATACTAATCACAGAAGGACAAATATAGTACTAGTTTGTTGTTGTGGAGGGTCAAGGAAAGGGTTACATATGGAGGGAAACTTTCTTTGTTGGTTGCCAGGAGTGGGAGAGAACACTGCAAAAAAAAAAAAAAAAAATGCATTGACCCATGTCACTTTAATTTTGTGTATTTCACTGTACATAATTTATATTTCAATAAAATACATTATTAAAATAAAAAAAATAGTTATGAAGAGTCTTATAGACAGTAGGAATTATTTCAGATAACAAAAATAAAAAATCCAAACTCATTGCCATGAAGTCGATTCTGACTGATAGTCATCCACCCTGTTGGTTTTCTGAGGCAGTAAATCTTTATGGAAGTAGATTGCCCTATCCTCCTTCCACAGATTGGCTGGTGGGTTTGAACCACCAACCTGTTTAGCAGTCAGATGCCTTAGGCACTGTGCCACCAGAGCTCCTTATTTCAGATACAGGGATATTAAATTGTGCTCCTTTTTATTAGAAAAAGTTGTGGTAGTCTGGCTGACCCAAAGGACAGTTGGTAGGTCCAGTTATTCTAAACACACATTTTACTACTACAGATTAATAGAGACTCTTCAAAAAATGTAAACACACTCTGGGAGATGTTGAGGGTCATGTGTCATCCACATTTTATTTAGAATATTTTCACCCATTTATTTTTCTTTAACATCTGAGATCAGTGGTTCCAAGAAATTAGGTTATCTGAGGAAAAGGATTAAGGGGCCCTTCAGAGGAGCGTAACCTGGCTAGGAGCGACATAATAGGGAATCCCCATCAGTTAAAGGGCAATAGATGGGAGTCGTATGTGCATGGAGAATGGGGTGACTGTGGGGTAGAAAGGGAGCAAAGAATAAATTCCTCATTCTATCTCTCATACAACATTTTAAAAAAAGAATTGATTATTCTACTAAGTTTTCATACTATTTCTTTTTAAGAAAAAAGGCCCTGGGTGGTGTAAGTGGTTAATGTGGTTGGCTGCTAACCCAAAAGTAGGAGATTTGCATCCACCCAGAGGTGCCTTAGAAGAAAGGAATGGGAATTGACTTCTGAAAAATCAGTCACTAACAACCCTACGGAGCACAGTTCCACTCTGGCACACGTGGGGTCGCCAGAAGTTGGGACTGAATAGATGCCAACTGGCAATATGGAAAAACAGCTCCAGCATTAATGAATCAAATCAACACACTTAAATATGGCCACGGAATTTTCTCCTCTCATCTACAGTTTTAAATTTTATAATGTAATACTTAGCATTTAACAACTTTCCCCTGATTCATGTAATTGGAAGCAGGATCCTAATAATGTAAATGATTATATGGTTACTTTGTTAATAGTTTTAGTAATTCTTCAAATATCCCTTTAAGATTAGCAGTTCAAGAGTTAATTTAATTCTTCAGGTGAAAACACTGATGGTACAGCATGCCAAGAGATTTTCTTTGACTAGCAGGAGTCAAATTGCAAGACAACATCCATGATTACTTCTTCTTCTTGTTAGGTGCCGTCAAGTCAGCTCCAACTCATAGCGACCCTATGCACAACAGAACAAAACATTGCCTGGTCCTATACCAGCCCCACAATCCTTGCAATACCTGAGCCCATTGTGGCAGCCACTGTTGTCAATCCACGACTAGAAATCCACGGTTACTAGTATCCATTAACTTGGTAAATCACTGGACCACGTTACATTGAAATAGAGATTAAGAAACAATATCTTTCTTATTAAAACTGACTATAACTACACATTAAAATATTAATTATAAAAGAATGAACTACTGATACAGGCCAACATGTGGCTGAATCTCAATTATGCGAAGTGAAAGCGGACAAAAAAGGACTATAGACTATATAATTCCATTTGTAAAAATTTCATTTATATGAAAACTAATCTCTAGAGATAGAAAGTAGATGAGTGGTTGCCTAGACAGGTTGGGGAAAAGAAGGGAGGGACTGGTGAGTGGGATTGCAGAGCTGCACAAGGACACATCTAGGGGTTATGTTTACGTTTATTACCTTGATTATGGTGATGGTTTCACAAGTATATACAATGCCAAACATCAAATTGTACTCATTACATGTAGTTTGTCATACACCAATCACACCTCAATAAAGCTATTTAAAAAAAAAAAAATAACTGAAATAATACAGAAGGGTATAAAGAAATGAATTTTCCTGTGTTAGATACTGTATCCACTCCTGAAGTTTCTTCCTTAATAGTAGGGAGAGTACTGGCTTTTTCTTTTTTTTTTCCCTGAGTGGGGAAGGGTGCTTACATCTGTATGATGACATACTTAAGATACCAAAAAACCCTAAAACCATTGTCCTTAAGTTAGTTCCAACTCAAGTGATACTATAGGGCAGAG